TCTCCTACTTGGGTGATGTAGTGATCAAGGGCTTCGTTTCTTCTTCTAGGTACCGAATTGGGCCGTTTGAAGTGGAGAGTGCGCTCATCGAACACCCAGCAGTTGTTGAATCAGCTGTTGTCAGTAGTCCGGATCCAATCAGAGGAGAGGTAGAGTGAATGTCATTAAAGTAGCAACTTCATATTTTCTAGTTCTATCCATTTGACCCCTCTGGATAATCAATCAAAAGTAGTCATGTAATTCTCATGATGAAGCACACATGTGCCAAAAATATATACTAGGCACTCAACTTTTTTTTTCCTCTTCATTTTCTTCATTATGTTCAGGTAGCCGTCATATAGCACATCATTAGTTTTTGTTGCAGTGTTCAATGATTCATCAGTTGCGTATAACACCCAGTGCTCATCACAACATGTGCCCTCCTCAATACCCATCACCCGGTTACTCAACTTTACAAATGAGTTGTGTCCCAAAGGGGATGTATTAGGATGCATTTAGTGCTAAGTGACAGAAACTCAACTCAAACTGACTTAAGTTTTTAAAAAAGGTATTTATTGGCTCATATGTAAGTGAGGACGTCTTCAAGTACAGCTACATCCAAGGGTTCATGTGAAGTAAGCAAAACTTTGTCTTTCTTCATTTCCTGGCTGTTGTCCTTTAGGTTGGCTCCATTCAGACAGGTTCTCCCTACTTGGTAGCAACTGATTGCAAATGCACACAGCTTCACAACCAGTAAAGGAGATGGCTCCTTTTCCAACAGTTTCAAGCAACTCCCAGAATAACATTTGCCTATCTTAGATCACATATCTAATCAATGTGGTCCAGGGAATGGTATATGCTCACTGGCCAGACCTGGATCATCTGTTGGTCATTGGAAGTAGAAGTTAGTGTCAACACCACCAGAGAGAGAAGTTAGGGTAATGCTCTGTAGGAAAATCAGGGTACTATTACTAAAAGAGGGGAACAAGGGACGCCTGGGTGGCTCAGTCAGTTGGGCTGGTGCCTTCGGCCCGGGTCGTGATCCCAAGGTCCTGGGATCGAGTCCCACATCAGGCTCCTTGCTCAGCAGGGAGCCTCCTTCTCCCTCTCTCTCCCTCTGCTTGTGCTCTTGTCAAATAAATAAAATCTTTAGAATAAATAAGTAAAAGGGGGGAACAGATGCTGCATAAGAAAAAGCAAATTTTACTGTACTTATGATTGTCATGGAACTCAGAATACATTTCCTCATAGAAACAATGCAAATAGGAGGCTGTGGCCAGGTTCCCAAACAAGTCCCACAGCCTACTTAGGACCTAATGAAAGGGAACTTGGGGAATGACAGTAATAGCCTTAGTTTTAGGAGGAAGCCATGTAGTATGGAAGGGAGACATTTCCTTTCCTCATGGAAGTTTCTTAGACTCAGTAAGTAGCAATATTTCAAAAAGTTTGTGTATCAGCATCCTCCCACATCTCTTTTATGCTTTTCAAAGATTTTATTTACTTATTTGACAGAGAGGAGAGCACAAGCAGGGGGAGGGGCAGAAGGAGAGGGAGAAGCAGGCTCCCCACTGAGCAGGAAGCCTGATGTATGGCTTGATCCCGGGACCCTGGGATCATGACCCAAGCCAAAGGCAGACAGTTACTGACTGAGCCACCCAGGTACCCTCTCTGATGCCTTTTACATACCAGTAACCCTCTACAGTGATTCTATGGATTCCATACTCAAACCTCCTGTACAACCTCCACACCCAATGGATTCTATTCTCCAAAGTACTTTTCTCCTGCCACCATATTCTCATTCTCTCAATATAGTTGGTTTCATCTGAACATTAGAAGTAAATACCAATTGGAACCAATGTATGAATAACTAATAATTTAAACTATAATCAACCTCAATAATTATCTAATTGGTGGGTTATGAATAGTATTCCAAAGAGAAGCAAGAAATATTAGGCAACTGGGCACCTGGGTGGCTCAGTTGGTTAAGCAACTGCTTTCGGCTCAGGTCATGATCCTGGAGTCCTGGGATCGAGTCCCACGTCGCGCTCCCTGCTCGGTGGGGAGTCTGCTTCTCCCTCTGACCCTCTTCCCTCTCGTGCTCTCTATCTCTCATTCTCTCTCTCTCAAATAAATAAATAAAATCTTTAAAAAAAAAAAGATTAGGCAACTTTTTTTGCCTAGATAGATCCTTCCCAAGAGTTCATCTCCCAGCATACAAAATCCTTTCACCAAGCCTCCCCAAATCCCTTTCAAACCATATTCTCTGGAACCTCCATTTGTCTCCCTATTACATGCTTCTAACAGTGTAGGTCTGGAGTAAGCGATCATCTGCAAATCAAGGACTGCCTATATAATATATAGGACTAGTCAGACTGAAATGTTAAATACATGTCTGACGTGTAAATAAAACTCAACTTTTAGCTTTATTGAAACACTGCACTCCTCACACTCACAAACCATTTATCTGGAATTAGATCTCAAAACCCCACTTGTATCCAAGCTCTGTCAGAGGTGATCTCTGGATTTGCATTCATCATTCAAGCTGCTGTTAACAAATAATTTTAAGTACCTGTGTTCAGCATTGGTTCCAAACTCCTGATGTGTCTGAAAAACAAACATCGATATAAATTGACTTTTCTCCTACAGGTAGTGAAAGCTTTTGTTGTCTTATCTGCATCCTTTAAATCATCCAACCCAGAGAAATTAATTCTTGAACTTCAGGATCATGTGAAAAAATCAACTGCACCTTACAAATATCCAAGAAAGGCAAGTATTTTTTGCTCAAGAGTGTGTTACCAAACAAGGGTCTAAGCTATTAAGTACAGAGATTTTATTAGCTTTTGACTTTATGGTAGCTCATTATATAAGTAGAAGACACCTATTTCAACTTGTTTAGCCCTAATAATTTTGCTTTAAAAAATTTCTTTAGGACACTTAAATTTTGATAAACTAGTTTTGATCAACTCTGAAATACTGAATAATTACTAAGGATCCTTATAAGACTAATCAGTCCCATTCCATGAGAAGAAAAAATGGTGGAAAAAATTTAAGACAGCACCTGATTCAGCTATCAGTACTCCTGAGCCATAATACTCTTCAAAGCACAAGCCTTTAAGTATCAAGTGACCAAACTTAAGCTCAGAAAAAAAAAGATGTTATCCAAAGAAACTGTGGAACCTTTCCTGAAACCTTCAATAAAATCTTTAAAAAAATAATAATAATAATTCTATATAAAAACAGAGATGGCACTGCAATTTCCTTCCTTCTCATCCTGGAATACTGTTGGTTGATATTGATCCTTAAGATGAGAATTCTATTTCATTTGGTATTTCAACCAAAAGGTAGTTGACTTCAACTTAAGAACTAGCTACATTTTCTCCATTAAATTTACTAAATCAGTCACCAGTTGATTTTCAGAAATGTTGTTTAGAAATTTTAAAATAGTCACATCTTGAGAGAGGGAAACAAAGAGAGGATTTTACCATGAGCATAAGGGGAAAATTTTTTGTACTCAAAATTAACTCTCAAAAGTCTCCCTCAGAAAGGATTTGCAGGACCCAACTCTTAAAAGCCCAAAACCCAAGAATTAACTTGTTTCTCTGTGCATTTAGGTGTGGTGTCTATTTCCTTGGGGAGTAGAGGCCCAAGTCTAGTTTGAACTGGAAAGGGAAGCAATGGAGTAAAGGGATCATTATATTCTTCTGACAAAGCATATAACCTTTGCACTCAAAACTCATATGTAGCTCCAATGTCAACTGGACTATCAACACAAGAATTTCAATGAGCTTAGGCTAAGACATCCCCCAGACTCAAACTCACCAGTTACATGAAAGCTCTCCCTATTGTACTGACAACTGGGATTGTCAAAATGGAATCAAGTGTCTCATAGTATGTTTCTCTGTTAATTAGGTGGAATTTGTTCCGGAACTCCCGAAGACAATCACTGGGAAAATCAAACGCAACGTTCTGAGAGACCATGAATGGGGTCAAACATAGCCTGATAAGAAACTATGGCATTCAGTAGTTACAGGCTTGCTTTCATTGAGTCCTTGCTTCCTGATAATTTAGTGATTACTCTCTTACAATGCTGAAGATTCTTCCTGGTTGAAAAACTCAACTTTTTTGTTCTGTATGTAGCAAAAAATTTAATAAATAAATATCCAAAAATATTTGGGAAGAAAATGGTTATGATAACCAAACTGACAAAGGCAATGATTTTAATGACTTGCAGCGTTTAAAATAGCAAATGATTACTTAGAAAAGCACAGTGGACAATGAATTTATCTTGCACCTGATTAAGTCAAAATAAAGATTAGAACTATTCTAAGAAAAATGTTCAAGACAGAATTTCTTCTGCTTAACACCTTTATTACTAGTTCTCTAAAGTGAATTAAAGGGGTGTCTGGGTGGCTCAGTTGGCTAAGCATCTGACTCCTGACCTCTGCTCAGGTCTTGCCCTCAGGGTCATGGGTTCGAGCCCCACGTTGGGCTCTATGATAGGTGTGGAGCCTACTTAAAAAAAATAAAGTGAATTAAAGTATTAATTTTAAAATAAGGAATATAAATAATTCGAAAGCCAGTAAGTGCATTTAATTAAGTACTGTATTACTATACCTTTTTTTAAAAGATTTATTTAGAGTCCGGGGGCGGGGGGGCAGAGGGAGAGAGAGAATCCCAAGCTCCCTGCTGAGCAAAGAGCCCAACATGGGGCTTGATCTCACAATCCTGATATCAAGACCTAAGCTGAAATCAAGAGTTGGACGCTTAACCAACTGAGGCACCCAGGCACCGCTAACCTCCTCTTGAAGCCAGTTCACTGTAAAATATCTTATGTTTGGATTACTTACAAGTAATTAATCAAGAGCAATTATTCCAAAAGTTTTATATCTGTACTTTTTTAGGACAATGTACATGACTTTTGGTACATAATTTGACATGTAAGCATCTTTTATGAGATATCTATTATAAAGCAAGAGATTTACTAAGAGGCAGGAAGAAAGAAAAAGCAAAGAACACCAATATTTAGGGAACAAATTTATTTTGATTTTTCTGAAAATATCAGGAACTATAAAAACAAGCTAAATATCTGGCCATACCAAAAGCAAAATACAAGTAAAAACAACACTTAGAAATCATGTGTGACCTTAAACAGGTTTCAAGATACTAAGCTTAACATTCTTTCCTCCACAGAGCAAAACAAGTTTACTAAACCACAATACTGGAGTTTTTTTTTAACTGACATAACTTAAAAAAAAAAAGAAAAAGAAAAAAAAGAAACCACTCAATTCCCACCCTGGAATCTCATCATTTACAAAACAACATGCTCAAATGTCAGTGACAATAAAGTTGGGAAACTTGAAAACCTATCAATGAAAGAATTCAGATTCCAACAGAACACAGTGCTTTATAGCTGGGGAAGAATAGCTTTTGTCGCACTCAGGTCTTACCAAATACAAATAAATACAAGAAGATTAAAAACAAACTATTAAATCAAAATCTTTCTGTAGAGTAGCAGCTTTCACAAAGTAAAAGGAATCCAGCTCTGCAGAGTTAGATGTTCTAAAAGCATATGGCCAATTTTATCCCCAAAGCCCCAGAGTCTTGCACTATCAAAATAAAAGTATCTTTGTCTTGGAGCAAGTCCAATGAAGGCACCAAAATCCTATCCTCCGTGTTCATGCAAATGAAACTTAAAATGCTTTTATCATCCTTTCAAGATGACCTCAACCTATTAAGAGTTAACACTCTTAAGTATCTAAAGATCTCGAAGGAAGTTCCAGCCTCATCTGCATTTCCAAGGTCCAGTCTATATAGCTTTTCCCCCTCCCAAATCCTTCTAGTCTGGACCCCTATTTTAGGAGGATAAAAATACATTCCCATACTCCTAGCCATTAAATAAACACAGACATTGGTGCAGGAAGACTCAACAACTATAATACTACTGAACTTCTTAAAACTTTATAAACCCTTCTCCAAAAGTGAATTTCATAGCCTCTTAATATTTATTCTCAGTCTGGATTTAGTATGCAGCCCTCTTTGGTGTCCGTCTCTTCCAGGCTTTTCAGTGGTTTTACCCTGGAGGAAACCTTGAAAAAACTTCCAATTACAGGAACCCGCACAGCATGGGATTATGAGCACTAAAAGACAGAATTTGTGTCTCTTGTTGCACTGGCATACTGAAGAAACTCAGAACACTCATTCTTCATCACTAACCTTATCAGAAATGTCTAGTTCTATGCCTAGAATGGTCCTCTTCTATCTAACACCATGCCTTCAAAAATTGCAGCACTGGACCATCAGATTTGTAACAAATGTTAATAAAACAGATTTGTAACAAATGTTAATAAAATGTAAAAACTGGCATAACAACTAAGTAACAGAATCACAAAAAAATAGAAAAACTTCACAAAAACAATTCACTTCTAAACCTTTAAGACCCATGTTTTTGCAATGTTTACAACAAAGTGGGAAGGGACAGCTGAGTTGCAACACATAAAAATTCCTTCCTTAGAATGAAAATTTCCCTATGACTTTCTCTTTTACAGAGTTTGTTTGCTCCCGTAAGTCAGATGGCAACACAGAAGGGGCAGCTGGCAAAGGTAATCAGGAGGGAGAGGCCAACACTATCTTCCTTCCACCCTCCCCTCCACGAAAGTGTTCATCATTATCCATACTACTCCTACCTCAACCAAATGCATGTAGGCCTAACTGCACCCTGGCATAGGGGGCTGAAAAGATCTCCAACAGAACTGTTAACAGGGCTGCTCAATAACGGTTCACTATTATGAGTTCAGCATTATGCAGCACACAAAGGTCAAAAACAATATATTTATTCAGTCACAATTTTATATGGAATCATAGCAATATCTTACCAACGCCATCTGAGAAACCCACCTGCAACACCAAATAAATTTTTTTCCTTATGAGAGATCATTTTCATTTGACTCAGATCTTTCTGTGACTTGACTTTCAAGTTCAGGTTTAGCTCCTCCCTCATTCACCACTTGTGTCTCAGATCGTGGTTTTGTCTGCCCCAGTTCCTTATTTTCTGGTACCAGCTGCTGGTTATTTGTTCCTTCTGCTGGGTGATGTTGATTTGATTTGTCACCAGATTCCAATTTAGCTTCTTTCCCATTTCCTCCTTGCACTGGCTGCTTTGGGTTAAGTTGTGATGGGTCCTTACCACTCTTTACCACCTCCTGGAGATTATACTTTCTGAACAACATATAATCTTTGACAACACTCAGGCAACAGACAGCTTTAATTATTTCTACTACCACCGTGTACTGTGGATTGGTAAGATCCACTTTATTTTCCGAATTGAGGCTGCCTACTATTCCTGTAACAAAAAGAAGAGGGAAACATTTAGAGGGAGAAGGATACCATGACGCTTGACAGATACAATCTTTCATCTTTCTGTTTGGGACTTGTTATACCAATATATATACTAATCTACTCTTCTACATGGACCTCAATCAAATTCTTAGAACTCTGGGCCCCTGGGTGGCTCAGGTCATGATCTCAGGGTCCTGGAATCGAGCCCCGTGTAGGGCTCTCTGCTCAGTGGGGAGTCTGTGTGTCTCCCTCTCCCCCCACCCCCAGCTCCTGCTCTCTCATGTTCTCTAATAAATAAATCTTAAAAAAAAAAAATTCTGTAAACTCTTTCAATAAATAAATACAAATGAAATCCTGAGACATTTAATCAAAGTACTTTTTTTTCAAAGAAAATTCAATCTTGATTTGGAAGATTTCATATCTACCTACCAGAAAGTCTCATATCCAACATATCGAAATGTTAGGTTTGATATTATTTTAAGGACTTTTTTTTTTTTTAATAATCTCTGCCCCCAACATGAGGCTTGAACTCACACCTGGGATCAAGAGTCACGTAGCCGGCCAGGTACCCCTATTTTAAGGACATTTTATTTTTTTATTTTTTTTTAAGGTTTTATTTCTTTGACACAGAGAGAGAGCACACAAGTAGGGGGAGCGGCAGGTAGAGGGACAGGGAGAAGCAGGCTCCCCACTGAGCAGGGAGCCCTATGCAGGGCTCGATCCCAGGACCCTGAGATCACGACCTGAGCTGTAGGCAGACACCTAACGACTGAGCCACCCAGGCGCCCCTAAGGACATTTTAATATACTTCTTTTATACCCAAAAATATAAGCCTTAGGTTGTAAAAAAAAAAAAATTCATAAAATCAAGAACAAGTATTTAGTATTGTATACTAATGTAAAATCACTAAGAAAAACATACCTGCCAATTCTTTGATAACTTCTTCTCTATTCATGTGACTGTTATTTCGAGATTTATATACAATCTGAAATGTCCCTTTGTTTGGAGCTTTAAACCAGGGTTCCAAAAATGTTTCTGCATATTTTTTCATATCTTCTAAGAAAGCCTTGCACGTGCCTGAAATGGGTAACATACGTAGAATAACCCGAGTCTTCTTCTTCTTGGTTTTGTACATATCCTGGAGAATATGATGTACCAATTTCTCAGGTTCTAAAGGAAAAAAAGAAAAAAGCACAAAGCAAACAAGTTAAGAATAAAAACTCTCGGACATTTCAGAACCTCTTCAAACTCTCTATAAAATGAATTTTCGATGGGCGGAGCAAGATCGTGGAGGAGTAGGAGACCTGGATTTCGTCTGGTCTCAGGAATTCTGCTGAATAGGGATCAAACCATTCGGAACACCTATGAACTCAACAGGAGATCGAAGAGGAGAGTAGCAAAAACTCTCTGAACAGAGAAGCGACCACTTACTGGAAGGTAGGACGTGCGGAGAAGTGAAACCGAGGGGATATTCGGGAGGATAGACGGCGGGGGAGGGGGCCTCCTTCAGCCGCTTCTGGCAAGTGATAGAGCCGCGGAGCACAAAATCAGAACTTTTAAAAGTCGGCTCCGCGGAGGAATGTCGCTCCAGTGGCTAAGCGGGGAGTGGAACCCTCACGGCACAGGGTGGTCTCAGGACCCTCGGGGTCACAAAGACCGGGGATGCCTGAGTGCGGCAGAGCTCCCAGGTATCGGAGCAGGGAAGCCAGCTGCAGAGACAGAGCCGAGGCGCGGGCTCTGAGCTCGGGGTTGCCATAAACTGTGATCTGCGGCGCAGTCGGGCCACTGCTCCTCCAGCAGGGACCCAACAAGCGGCAGATCCAGGGAGACTCCCCTTCCTCCCCCGGGAAGAGTGGCGCGGGAGTGCACTGCAGGGATCTACTGGGTTTGGAGACTCCACACGGGGTCGGGTGCCAGAGATAGAAAAGCTCGGTCACAGGCCGGGTGAGCACGGAGTGCGGTTGGAGACCGGGGACACGGGAGTGACTGGATGCTTTTCTCAGGGGGCGCACTGAGGAGCGGAGCCCCGAGTTCTTGCCTCCTCTGGGGCAGAGATTGGGAGGCCGCCATTTTCACTGTCGTACTCCAAAGCCGGACAGAAAGCTTGCAGGGAACAAAAGCTCCTGAGAGCAAACCCAAGCAGCTTGCTTAGCCTGGGCGGACAAGGGCGGGGCAATTCCGCCTCCGGCAAAGACATTTGGGAACCACAGCAACAGGCCCCTCCTCCAGAAGATCAGCACCTACAGCCAGCAAGCCAAGACCAAGTTTACCCATCAAGGAGAACAGGAGAACTCCAGCTCTATGGGAATATTGCACATAGAATTCATGGCTGTTTTTTACCATGATTCATTAGTTATTCAAAGTTAATTTTTTTAACTGTTTTTTTAATTTCTCTTTTTCCCTTTTTCAACCAACATCTTATCCCTTTTTTTAAAAAAACATTTTTATTTTTCATTTTTAGTCATATTTTTTCCCTTCATAATAGTTACCCTTATTTTTGACATATATATATAAGTTGTTCTCTCTCTAAAATTTTGAGATACACTTTCTTCTCACAGAACAAAATATACCCTAAATCACTAGTGTATGGCTTTGCTCTAGTCTCCTGCCTGATCACATTCTCTCCCCCCCGTTTTTTTAATCTTTCTTTTTTCAAACAACTTCTTATCGTATCAATTCCTTTTATAAAATCTTTTATAATTTTCATCTTTACAGTCATCTTCCATCCCTTCATTCTATCAACCCTTATTTTGTATATATATAAGTCTTTCTTCCTTTAAAATTTTAGGAGGCACTGTTTCTAACAGACCAAAATATGCCCAAAATCTAGTGTGTGGCACTGATCTATGCACTAGCCTGATCATATTTGATCATATTCTGTTTTTTTGTATTCTTCTGTTTTTGTTTTTAATCTTTTTCTTTTTTTCCTCTTTCTTTTCTCTTTTTTCTTTCTTTCCCTTTCTTTTCCCCTGGTTTCAGGTATTTTCTGATTTCTATAGAGTATATTTGCTGGGGACATTGTTAACCTGTTAGCATTTTGTTCTCTCATTCATCTGTTCTCCTCTGGACAAAATGACAAGACGAAAAAAATCACCTCAGCAAAAAGAACAAGAGATAGTACCGTCAGCCAGGGACCTACTCAATACGGACATTAGTACGATGTCGGACCTACAGTTCAGAATCATGACTTTATAAAGATACTAGCTGGGCTTGAGAAAAGCGTGGAAGTTATTAGACAAACCCTTTCTGGAGAAATACAAGAACTAAAATCTAACCAAGTCGAAATCAAAAAGGCTATTCATGAGGTGCAATAAAAAATGGGGGCACTAACTGCTAGGATAAATGATGCAGAAGAGAGAATCAGCGATACAGAACCAAATGATGGAAAATAAAGAGGCTGAGAAAAAGAGAAAGAAACAACTACTGGATCACGAGGGCAGAATTCAAGATATAAGCGATACGATAAGATGAAACAACATTAGAATAATTGGGATCCCAGAAGAAGAAGAAAGAGAGAGAGGTGCAGAAGGTATATTGGAGCAAATAACAGAGAATTTCCCTAATGTGAGGAAGGAAACAGGCATCAAAATCCAGGAGGCACAGAGAACCCCTCTCAAAATCAATAATAATAGGTCAACACCCCGACATCTAATACTAAAACTTAGGAGTCTCAGAGACATAGAGAAAATCCTGAAAGCAGCTCTGGAGAAGAGAAATATAACCTACAATGGTGGAAATATTAGATTGGCAACAGACCATCCACAGAGACCTGGCAGGCCAGAAAGGACTGGCATGATATCTTCAGAGCACTAAACGAGAAAAATATGCAGCCAAGAATACTATATCCAGCTAGGCTGTCATTGAAAATAGAAGGAGAGATAAAAAGCTTCCAGGACAAACAAACACTAAAGGAATTTGCAAACACGAAACCAGCCCTCCAAGAAATATTGAAAGGGGTCCTCTAAGCAAAGAGAGAGACTAAAAGCAGCACAGATCAGAAAGGAACACAGACAATATACAGTAACAGTCACCTTACAGGCAATACAATGGCACTAAATTCATACCTTTCAATAGTTACCCTGAATGTAAATGGGCTAAATGCCCCAAGCAAAAGACACAGGCTATCAGATTGGATTAAAAAACAAGACCCATCGATATGCTGTCTGCAAGAGACTCATTTTAGACCCAAAGACACCCCCAGATTGAAAGTGAGGGGGTGGAAAACCATTGACCATGCTAATGGACACCAAAAGAAAGCTGGGGTGGCAAGCCTTATATCAGACAAATTAGATTTTAACACAAGGACTGTAATAAGAGATGAGGAAGGACACTACATCCTATTTAAAGGGTCTATCCAACAAGAAGATCTAACAATTGTAAATATCTATGCCTCTAACATGGGAGCAGCCAATTATATGAGGCAATTAATAACAAAAGCGAAGAAACACATTGACAGCAATACAATAATAATGGGGGACTTTAACACCCCCCTGACTGAAATGGACAGATCATCTAAGCAAAAGATCAACAAGGAAATAAAGACTTTAAATGACACACTGGACCAAATGGACTTCACAGACATATTCAGAACATTCCATCCCAAAGCAACGGAATACACATTCTTCTCTACTGCCCATTGAACATTCTCCAGAATTGATCACATCCTAGGTCACAAATCAGGTCTCAATCGGTACCAAAAGATTGGGATCATTCCCTGCATATTTTCTGACCACAATGCTTTGAAACTAGAACTCAATCACAAGAGGAAAGTCGGAAAGAACTCAAATACATGGAGGCTAAAGAGCATCCTACTAAGGAATGAATGGGTCAACCAGGAAATTAAGGAAGAATTAAAAAAATTCATGGAAACCAATGAAAATGAAAACACAACTGTTCAAAATCTTTGGGATACAGCAAAGGCAGTCCTGAGAGGAAAGTATATAGCAATACAAGCCTTTCTCAAGAAACAAGAAAGGTCTCAAATATACAACCTAACCCTACACCTAAAGGAGCTGGGGAAAGAACAGCAAATAAAGCCTAAACCCAGCAGGAGAAGAGAAATAATAAAGATCAGAGCAGAAATCAATGAACTAGAAACCAAAAGAACAGTAGAACAGATCAACGAAACTAGGAGCTGGTTCTTTGAAAGAATTAACAAGATTGATAAACCCCTGGCCAGACTTATCAAAAAGAAACGAGAAATGGCCCAAATGAACAAAATCATGAATGAAAGAGAAGAGATCACAACCAACACCAAAGAAATACAAACAATTATAAGAACATATTATGAGCAACTCTATGCCAGCAAATTAGATAACCTGGAAGAAATGGGTGCATTCCTAGAGATGTATCAACTACCAAAATTGAACCAGGAAGAAATAGAAAACCTGAACAGACCTATAACCACTAAGGAAATTGAAGCAGTCATCAAAAATCTCCCAAGAAACAAAAGCCCAGGGCCAGATGGCTTCCCAGAGGAATTCTACCAAACATTTAAAGAAGAATTAATACCTATTCTCCTGAAACTGTTCCAAAAATTAGAAATGGAAGGAAAACTTCCAAACTCATTGTATGAGGCCACCATTACCTTGATCCCAAAACCAGACAAAGACCCGATCAAAAAAGAAGAATTACAGACCAATATCCTTGATGAACATGGATGCAAAAATTCTCACCAAAATACTAGCCAATAGGATCCAACAGTACATTAAAAGGATTATTCACCATGACCAAGTGGGATTTATCCCTGGGCTGCAAGGCTGGTTCAACATCCACAAATCAATCAATGTGATACAATACATTAACAAAAGAAAGAACAAGAATCAATGATCCTCTCAATAGATGCAGAAAAAGTATCTGACAAAGTACAGCATCCTTTCTTGATCAAAACTCCTCAGAGTATACGGATAGAGGGTACATACCTCAATATCATAAAAGCCATCTATGAAAAACCTACAGTGAATATCATTCTCAATGGGGAAAAGCTGAGAGCTTTTCCCCTAAGGTCAGGAACGCAGCAGGGATGTCCACTCTCACCACTGCTATTCAACATAGTATTAGAAGTCCTAGCCACAGCAATCAGACAACAAAAAGAAATCAAAGGCATCCAAATCGGCAAAGAGGAAGTCAAACTCTCGCTCTTTGCAGATGATAGGATACTGTATGTGGAAAACCCAAAAGACTCCACCCCAAAACTGCTAGAACTCATACAGGAATTCAGTCAAGTAGCAGGCTATAAAATCAATGCACAGAAATCAGTGGCATTCCTATACACCAACAACAAGACAGAAGAGAGACAAATCAAGGAGTTGATCCTATTTACAATTGCACCCAAAACCATAAGATACCTAGGAATGAATCTAACCAAAGAGGCAAAGCATCTGTACTCAGAAAACTATAAAATACTCATGAAAGAAACTGAAGAGGACACAAAGAAATGGAAAAACGTTCCATGCTCATGGACTAGAAGAACAAACATTGTGAAGATGTCAATGCTACCTAGAGCAATCTACACATTCAATGCAATCCCCATCAAAATACCATCCACTTTTTTCAAAGAAATGGAACAAATAATCCTAAAATTTGTATGGAACCAGAGAGACCCCAAATAGCAAGGAGGAATATTGAAAAAGAAAAGCAAAGCTGGCGGCATCACAATTCCGGATTTCCAGCTCTATTACAAAGCTGTCATCATCAAGACAGTATGGTACTGGCACAAAAACAGACACACAGATCAATGGAACAGAATCGAGAGCCCAGAAATGGACCCTCAACTCTATGGTCAACTTATCTTTGACAAAGCAGGAAAGAATGTCCAATGGAAAAAAGTCTCTTCAACAAATGGTGTTGGGAAAATTGGACAGCCACATGCAGAAGAATGAAACTGGACCATCTGCTTACACCACACACAAAAATAGACTCCAAATGGTTGAAGGACCTAAACGTGAGACAGGCGTCCATCAGAATCCTAAAGGAGAACACAGGCAGCAACCTCTTCGACCTCAGCCATAGCAACTTCTTCCTAGAAACATCGCCAAAGGCAAGGGAAGCAAGGGCAAAAATGAACTATTGGGATTTCACCAAGATAAAAAGCTTTTGCACAGCAAAAGAAACAGTCCACAAAACCAAAAGACAACTGACAGAATGGGAGAAAATATTTGCAAATGACATATCAGATAAAGGGCTAGTATCCAAAATCTATAAAGAACTTATCAAACTCAACACCCAAAGAACAAATAATCCAATCAAGAAATGGGCAGAAGACATGAACAGACATTTTTCCAAAGAAGACATCCAAATGGCCAACAGACACATGAAAAAGTGCTCAACATCGCTCGGCATCAGGGAAATCCAAATCAAAACCTCCGTGATATACCACCTCACACCAGTCAGAATGGCTAAAATTAACAAGTCAGGAAATGACAGATGTTGGCGGGAATGTGGAGAAAGGGGAACCCTCCTACACACTGGTGGGAATGCAAGCTGGTGCAGCCACACTGGAAAACAGTATGGAGGTTCCTCAAACAGTTGAAAATAGAGCTACCATAGGATCCAGCAGTTGCACTACTGGGTATTTACCACAAAGATACAAATGTAGGGATCCGAAGGGGTAAGTGCACCCCAATGTTTATAGCAGCAATGTCCACAATAGCCAAACTGTGGAAAAAGCCAAGATGTCCATCAACAGATGAATGGATAAGGAAGATGTTGGTATATATACACAATGGAATATTATGCAGCCATCCAAAGGAATGAGATCTTGCCATTTGCAACGACGTGGATGGAACTGGAGGGTGTTATGCTGAGTGAAATAAGTCAATCAGAGAAAGACATGTATCATATGACCTCAATGATATGAGGAATTCTTAATCTCAGGAAACAAACTGAGTGTTGCTGAGTGGTGGGGGGTGGGAGGGATGGGGTGGCTGGTTAATAGACATTGGGGAGGGTATGTGCTACGTACGGTGAGCGCTGTGAATTGTGCAAGACTGTTGAATCACAGATCTGTATTTCTGAAACAAATAATGCAAGATATGTTACGAAAAAAGAAAAAGAAGATAGCAGGAGGGGAAGAATGAAGGGGAGTAAGTCGGAGGGGAGAGGAACCATGAGAGAGGATGGATTCTGAAAAACAAACTGAGGGTTCTAGAGGGGAGGGGGGTGGGGGGATGGGTTAGCCTGGTGATGGGTATTAAGGAGGGCACGATCTGTGTGGAGCACTGGGTGTTATGCACAGACAATGAAGTACGGAACACTACATCAAAAACTAATGATGTAATGTATGGTAATTAACATAACAATAAAAAATTTTAAAAAATGAATTTTCATTGGCAATGACCTATGTCAACAGTATAGTAGAAGAAATTATCATACTGAATGTTAATAAACCTAATCAAACATTTTCCAACTTTCTTCACTGCCTATAATGATTATTACTATATCTAATAAGTTAACTCTTCAGCATTATTACTGCTTTCGCTAAAAACAATTGTTCATGAAGACATTGCAGTTAACATTTTTGTGATGTCTCATTTGTCCAGTAACACTTTACTGTTTTCCCATAACAACCGCAACTACAGACATAACATTATTAAATAGTACACTTTTTTACAAAACAATCAAACCTGCAAGTCACTTTAAAAAGATTTAATTCATCCATTAGTTAAGTCTGTACAATATTCTAGATCTCAGAACTCAGAGAAGCCCCCAAACCATGAATTACACAAGATCATGATATGGTCCTTAGACCATCCTCACTACCTACAAGTCTGTTTGGGGCTACTCAGTGTTTTCACTACTTTTAAATTAGTTAACTGCATTAAAAAAAATCTAGGAACTTCTCCAGATTTCCAACTTCTTTTGAAAAACCAGAAGATCTGGCCCTACAGGACTACATTTCAGATGGCTGGAGCCATTCCAAACTGGCTGGTGCTGAAGAGCAGCTTCTCCTCTTAAACAGAATACATACTCTTGTTTCACCTAAAGTTACATACAAAGTGGCAAAGCCAGGTTTCCACTCCTAAGCCAATGTGATTTTCCCCACCCCATTCTACCTTTCCATATGCCTAGCGCTAGAACAGTGAGGAAAAGATCAAATGATTAACTGAGCCATAACCATGAAGCCATTTTGTAGGCAGTGTTCTGAGGCAAGCAGATGTCCAGATATTACAGGCTCAATAATCTTAAGGTTTATTAGTCAGACACACCTATTCCAAGCGTCCTGATGAATACTACATTGTTGGCTCCACTCTCCACTGACTGGAATCTTCTTAGCTTCATCTCTGTTGATGCTTTAATGTCACCAACTTCTTTCTTCAAGGCAGCCTCCATGTCATCATCTTCTCCCTCACTTCCTGAGGACTGCTGCTCTTTGTCCGTAAACTGCATGAAACAAATGAGCAGAAACACAAAAACAGCTCATGTGAAAAGCTACAACCACCTATGTGAAATCTCCAGTGGCAGATGGATCAATACTGATAATAAAGATTTTTATTAAAAAAGTGACACATCGCTCCCTTCAAAATGTGGAGGAAAAAGGGAGTTCCCTCAGACTGGGGCACATATAATTTGAAAATGCTTTCAAAAACATCTTAACATTCTGGGACACAGGGTAATGTGCTCACCAGATGAATTAATTCAAGATAGACCTTAATCCCATCACTAGATATCGTTGTGCCTAATAAGACAGTCTCCTTTTGGTGAGATTACGATGAACAAGCAGAAGGCAAAAGACAAAGCCCAACCTGACACCCTGCAAACCCCAGCTCCCTCCCAGGTGGGAGATGTGTAATATTCTTCAGGCACTCCTGGCTGCCCTAAAGCTAAGGGAAGGAAAAACAAATGGTTAACTAGTAGGGATCACAGTCCTGCAAGACAGGAATTTCTCTCAGCTTACAAATGTTTTAGGTGATTTACCAAGAAAAAAAAAAAGCATTCTTATCAATAACCTAAACTTCCAGAAGGAAACTCCCAACTATCTTACTATTGAACGCTTTACTAATGGGGAAAAAAAAAAAATCCTAACTTGATAATGGCAAGGTCTCTATTATCTTGTAGGTCATCCTCTTTAGCATACAAAAGTTCTTTTGAAAACCTCCCTTTTCCTTTACCTCCCCCAACTTCCAAGTATATAATCAGTCACCCCTCACAGGCCCGGTGGAGCAGCTCTTTCTGCCCACAGGCCCTGTCCCTGTGCTTTAATAAAACATCATTTTGCAACAAAGATGTCTCAAGAATTCTTTCTTGGCTGTCAGCTCTGGACCTCACCTACATTCAAAAACTACATCAATTAGACCCAACAGTTATGGCATAAAAAAACCCTTGCTTCTATTCTACTAAGGAACAGGGAACAGAAACAGTCAAGAATTTGTTCAAGGTACCAGTGTAAACAGGACACTCACTTGTTGCCCATTTCTGGGCCCCACCATTATTAGTTTGCCAGACAAGCACTACTAATAATTAAAACACATTTATGGAGCCTTTATTATATGCCAGGATGTATTTTATATACATAAGCAACTTTTCAGCCAACATTAGGTACACTATCATTTTTCTTTTTTATTTAGCTTAGCAAAATTAAATAATATACCCATTACCAAGCCCTAGAACTAGTAAATAATGGAACTTGAATCCAAATCCCCCCTGTATTGTCCTCCCCCTTTTAATTCATTGAGGTATTTGTGTATGTATTAGTCCAGATCCTAAGCCAAGAATATAATGATTTCCAAACTGTGATGGGAAAACTAGGTTTTAGGTGGTGTGAGTACGAAAGTTTTTACTTTTTAAATTGCATTTACACGCGCATTTGGAAAAATAACTAGCACTAGTACTAAACCCACTATTTCAGAGACACTGCTTAGGGCAAACATCATTACAACCATGGTGTAAAAGTCGCGGTAAGCTATGACAAAACCATGAGGACAAATTAAGTTTCCCTTATTGGACCGTTTACTTAACCTTCAGTATCCTCGTGAACACTACTTCACAAGCCTATTGTTTAGCAGTAAACGTTTGAAAGCTTCAGCTTTGAGAGCACAACACGTGGACGGCAGAAGCAATCTATAAATAGGAGCCACCATAATTACTAATGGGGTGGGGGACCCAAACCTCTAAGTTTTTTAAGCGTATGACCCGGCAGGGGTCGGCAACCCAGATAAGGCGAAGAAGCGGCAACACAGGCGAGGCCACGCCCCTTCGCCAGCTCGGCCACAAACGCGCGCACGCGTATGAGAAAGCCGGCCTTGCAGCATTCCCTCATTACTCAAAGGCCGCTTGGACTTTCCGCGGCCCGTACCTTTTCCGGCCCATACATGTCGTCGCCGTATTCGTTGAGCAGGCTGTAGGCCTCCTCCACGCACTTGCGTTCGTTCATGTTGCAGGTAATGAGAATGCCCTGTAGGCCGGGTTCCAACTGCCGGGGCCCGCCACCGTCGCAGCGCCGAGCCCGCTTGGCTTGCACATACGGAGCTTTGCCTTTGCGCTTTCCGCCGCTAGACTGAGGAGGCTGCTGGGCGGGGGTCGCCATGGCGCATGAGAACCGAGGCTAGCGAGAAACGTGTTTCTCTTACTATTCCCGGCTTCCTCGCCTCTGCTGGCGCGAGCTGGCTTGCGTCATGTGCGCGCGACGACCTCCCCTAGTCCCGCCTCCAAGTTTCATTCGGTGCTGCGCGGGGTCCTAGAGCCGGTGGGTTGGCAGGCTGTGGAGAGGTGGTGCGAGGCCCGCCTGTAGCGAAGGTTGAACAGCACTTCTTGCTGCTCACCAGCCCGTGCTCCGACTTCCTGGGAAAGCGGCCTTCGGGTGGAGCGGGTCTGTAAATTTACATGCTGGCATCCAACTGGATGTAGGTCGTGCTTATAAAGAACCGTTTCAGTGGGACGCCTGGGTGGCTCAGTTGGTTAAGCAACTGCTTTCGGCTCAGGTCATCATCCTGGAGTCCTGGGATCGAGTCCCGCGTCGGGCTCCCTGCTGAGTAGGGAGTCTGCTTCTCCCTCGGACCCTCCCCCCCTCTCATGCTCTATCTCATTCTCTCTCTCAAATAAATAAATAAAATCTTAAAAAATAAATACTTTAAAAAAAATAACCGTTTATTTACCATTCATATTCATTGATTGATTCCGTTAATATTTATTAAGTACCTATGTGCTAGTTATGAACCTAAGTATTAAGGTTGGCAAAGCAAGACACACTTCATATACATCTTGCCCTTCTATGCCACTGTTTCTTAGAAGTCAGTGGGGGCCTTCCAAACCATCCTACTTATTTTTTGCTCCTGGTGAAATGTGCGTAATCAATAGACTTCAGTACTCCTGTTGAAGGATCCCCTTCAAAGAAAGGACACAAAGTATAAGGAACTCATAAGTCAAGAGACTTGATTATCAGAATGAGAAATATAAAATACAGGGAAACCTGGAAAAACTTATTAGCATTAAATTGTCACTATGGGAACATTTTAACTTGTTGGTGAGTTATTGTTCCAAGTGCACTTGGTTTGGACAGGAAATCACATCCTTACTTCTGAACAAAATCATGAAGAGCCAAAAGGGTTTGTCCTTTGTTGCCCTAGGAGGAATTAGCTAATCCAGTGACCCAAAAATGTGGAGAGGATGGTAGTAGAAAGTCAGAAATAAAGAACTTCTTAGTTATTATAAGGCCTGTATCTCTCAGATTGACATTCTTGTGACCCCCCATGACAAACTTATGCTGATATGAAATAATAGTCTAGAAATTCATATACATAAAAAAGAATTTTTGCTAATAGTAAGGGAAAGTATTCATCTTCTTTTCTCCAATGAAATATATCTTGCTATTTTCTTCATTATCTGTCCCCCAAAATGTTTAAGAATGCATTCATTAGTCTGGATAGGTAAGCAATCCCTATCCCTAAGCAAAAACTATGATGTTCATAGTTAACATCATAATATTCCCCATACCCTAAAGTTGGGAATCCAACTCCTTATACTTCATGCAATTAAAAGTCAGTTTGAACTTTATAAATTCCTTGTGTTGGTGTTCCACCTTTGACAGTGTATTGCTTTGTGAGCAAATGCAGGAGTACTGTGCATTTTACTGACCTAGATATTTCAATCTCACATTCAGAGGTTTGTTATATATGAAACAACAAAATACTAAGAAGAGGAAAAGTAATTAGCCTGATACTGAACTTGATGGTTAACTGGGTTTTTTTCTTCACTATATGTATATGTAAATATGTGTGTGTTATAGTTGTATATATACATACATGTATATATGTGTGTATATATTCTTTCTATAACCTTATCTTCCCTTAGGTTCTTTTCCTTAAATTACTAATATTAATACTAGTGTTCCTGATTAGTGCTAGATGTTAACTAGCCTGTTCTACACTGCAGAGTAGAACAAATGGAAAACATTCATTTCCCTTTCAGGGTGCCCCATCTGGCCAAATATTGAAGCGATTTCATAAGAAATGGAATCTGTGAGGAAGTGTTTTCCAGTATGTCTTTATTTAATACTATTATTCTAGGGGATGAAGGCAGAGAAATAACGAGAAGACTGGGGTAGAACATATACAATGACCACCTATGACTACTTCCTCTGTAGTCTTTGTCTACATTATGGCTGACATTTTTTGTTTTTGTTTGCTCAGTCAATGAACCCCGTTCCTTGGGGAGGAGGTGGAATCCATCATTGGATGAGTCTGAGTGGAAAGCAGGGCCCACCTTGTGTTATGGAAGCTTGAAGTGTCAAGTATCCCTTCTTCCCACCCTGTAAGGTGAGCACCTCACCTCAGCTTCATTATGCTGGCATTGCTGGTGGTATTTAGAGGCATATTGCTGAGTGAAACTCGTTTTTATTTTTCTTTTCATCTTCAGTGCCTAGCATAGTGCCTAGTCCATAGTAAGTACTCAAAAAATGCTATTGAACATTTGAACTCAACCCCAAAAAATGTTAATAAAGGAAAAAGGTTAAGACTCACGCTATTAAGAAGGGAAGTATACCAAATCCAGATCCCATTAAGCCCCACCAGAGGAGCTAGAAAAGAAGCTAGGAATTAAGAGAGAGATTTCCCTGGCAATGCTGGAAACACATTTGTGTACAGTTTCTATTTGTGTGAACTTTCACCTCCTTAGGTTACCAGTCATGGTCAGTGGTCTGGTGTCTATCATTGGGCACCAAGGGCTCTGTGATGTGGCTTGTAATGGTTTAAGGAAGGAATGGAGGAATGGTTTAAGACATTCTAAATTCTCTTTCCCTTTCTCTTCCTAACCTTAAAAGTTACTGCCATGTAATTTCTACTTGTATATTGAGGACAGAATCCATCCTGGTCCTAAACACAGATAGCAGACACTGATAGATTTTGTTCGTGTTCTGACTGCACTATCCATCCAGCATTTCCTACCTTATTTTCTTGTTACCCAGCATTTTCAGGAGTTAGATGTCTTGACACTGTAACCCTGGTCACCTGCTGACTTGATTTCTCTACACCTGCCACCTTCAGAGTTGGTATTATGTGTATGATCAAGAGATCAGATTCTAAAGCCAAACAAGGTTCAAATCCCAGTTCTGCCATGTTCTGGCTGAGGGACTCCAAGCAAGTTATAAGTCAAATTTCCTCATTAGCTTAAAAAAAAAAAAAGATTTATTTATTTATGAGAGAGAGAGAGAAGGGGTAGAGGGAGAGAATCTCCAGCAGACTCCATGCTGACTGCAGAGCCCAACACGGGGCTCAGTCTCAAAAACCTGAGAGCATGACCTGAACCAAAACCAAGAGTCAGATGCCCAACTCATAGAGCCACCTAGCCTCCCAAATTTTTTAAATGGAGGTAATAATAAAATATCCACTTTCTGGGTTACTGGGAGAACTCATTAAGATAGCCATGACAAGTGCCTAGTTCATAGTCACAGTTCAGTCAGTGTGGACTTAAAAACAGCTGGTTTGGGGCTCAGTTGTGACTCACTGAAGTCTAGTATTTTTGATATTAGTATCCATTCTCTAACCCAGTCCCCTGAATGCATTACTTGTCCCCTAATCTCTTATCTCAGTGTGTCACTTATTGAAAGCGAAATTTAATCCTTCTAGGAAGGAGTCCAGAAGGGAAAAAAATTTTAAAAATAATATAATGTGAAGTAAAATAAGATAAAATACATAACACCTGCATGCCCTTACCTCTGCCAACTGGCTCCTGCTTCCCATTTGATTGAATGACACCCTACGCCTTTCCCTGGCTCTGTGCCCTCAGCACTTGTGCCACACATGCACTTTCATCACTCCCACAAGTTGCACAGGAAACATGCCCAACAGCCCGAGCCCCAGACTGGAGCCTGACTTTGAAACCATGTGAACTTGGGTCTATCCCTGGCGAAGCCACATTTGGTCTGGCTCTTTGTTCCTACCTGCATCTTGGCTCAGCCCTGCTGGGTGTCCTGACTTTCTGATCCCAGCCTCCCTCACTGTGCTTCATCCCACCACTGCTGGAGTCCAGTTTTTTGTTTTGTTTTATTTTGTTTTGTTTAAAGATTTTATTTATTTATTTATTTGACAGAGAGAGACACAGCAAGAGAGGGAACACAAGCAGGGAGAGTGGGAAAGGGAGAAGCAGGCTTCCCGCTGAGCAGGGAGCCCAATGCAGGGCTCGATCCCAGGACCCTGGGATCATGACCTGAGCCAAAGGCAGACGCTTAAGGACTGAGCCACCCAGGCGCCCCTGGAGTCTAGTTTTGACAGGTATGCTTCTCTAAGGCAAACTTGGCATTTTATGGACATAGGTTCTTGAGGGCAAAAGTGAATAAATCTCTTTCCCTCCAATTTTCTTTTCCAGTTTTATACTCTACACATGCATTGAGTCTTTCTCCTTAAAACTTTTCCTGAGGATTCATGTGTACTTCCTTCCTACTTCTCTGAGATTTGACTAAATAATCTATGTTTAAATTTAATTGTTTTACTATTTAGTTCCACTTCTTTGACCACTTCTAGATTCTCCTCCTGCTCCTCTTTCCACTTTAGTCAGTGCTCCTAAGAATGAATCCCTAATGGTGGGATCTCAGACAGTTCAACACATAAGAAATACATCCATTTGGAACTGAAATCATCTATGAACTGCACACTCCACCAAGGCATAACACTAGCACTGGTAAAGTACTAATGCAAGAAATATAAAATTCAGAGTAAGTACAGTACACATTTAAGAGTCCAGGGTGACTGAGGTTTAGAGGATCATTCAGCACAGAAGAGACCTAAATAAGAATCTAAATGAGTAGTCAGGTTGAATCATTTATATTAAAATTAAAAGTTGGAGGGAAGTCAATGAGAATACAGCATTCAATGTACAGATGAACAGAGAGACAAACTGATTTTAAGAATATACATTGAGAGGGGCGCCTGGGTGGCTCAGTTGGTTAAACTGCTGCCTTCAGCTCAGGTCATGATCCCAGGGTCCTGGGATCGAGCCCCACATCGGGCTCCCTGCTTGGCAGGAAGCCTGCTTCTCCCTCTGCCTGCCGCTCCCCCTGCTTGTGCTCTCTCCCTCTCTCTCTCTCGCCCACTCTCTCTCTCTCTGTCAAATAAATAAATAAAATCTTAAAAAAAGAAAAAAAGAATATACATTGAGAGTCAGACAGTTGTTTT